ATCAAAGATTATATGCAAAGTATGGACCACTGTGTTTTTCTCACAATAGGAGCTTAACTAGATAATGGCTATTATTTGTGGCTTAAGGAAAAAGAGGTTCACTGTGAGGCTCAGAAATTGTGGTTGGCATTATTTGGAGATGGTGGAGCCTTCAGAGAGATGGCGAGTATAAAGGATCATGTTGAAAGATTCAAAAAGCTCGGGAGATGGTGATTTCAGTTTGGAGAATAGGAGAGATCTCCTATAGGTGGCTCAAAATATCTGCCTAGAGTTCAAAAGAGAAATCTGGGCAGGAGGAAGAAAGATTTCAAAGTCATCACTATATGAATAGTGGCTAAAAATGGAATAACTGGGCCCAAGGGGTTAAAGCCATGTTGATGAATGAAGTGGCATTTGAGGAAAATTATAAAGAACTTTAGACACATACACACACACACACACACACACACACACACACACACACGCATGCACACACACACACACACACAAATTGTATACCAACAAATTAGATAACTTACATGAAATAAGTTCCTAGAAACACACGAATTATCAAAACTGACTCAAGGAGAAACAGAAAAGCTCAACAGACCTGTAACAAATATTGAGATTGCATCAAATAAAAAACATCCCAACAAAGAAAAAAACCAGGATCAGATGGCTTCATTGATAAATTCTACCAAACATTTAAAGAAAAATTAGCATCAATACTTCCCTAACTCTTCCACAAAAGACAGACGAAGAGGAGAGAACATTTCCTAACTCATTCTGAGAGGCTAGCATGACTCTGATACCAAAGTCATCGGACAATGATATAACAAAAAAAGAAAGTTATGTATCAATACATCTTATAAATCTAATTGCAAAAAGGCTCAAAGGCTAATTGAATCCAAGAGAATATTAAAAGAATTCTAAAGTATGTTCACTGGGGATTTATACTAGGATTGCAATAGTGGTTCAAATAAGAAAATCATAATCAATATTTTTTATTATGGTTTTGTGGGATACAGTTAAGGGTTAGGTGTACAATTACGTTTCATTCAGGCACCCTGTTGATAAGAGGTGTTTCCCCATCCCCAGACAGATATTTGCTACTGTTAATCCCATCTCCCGCCCCCCCCCATAGTTTCCCAGTACCGTCAGTCATTTTCTTATAGTATTACATTGGATGTTCAAGGTCCATTATATGAGTGAGAACATGTGATACTCGAATCTTTGTTTCTGTGAGAGGTCACTCAGTATTATAGACTCTAGGTTCCATCCAGGTTGCTGCGAAATTCATGATTTTGTTCTTTTTTATGGCTGCGTAGTATTCCATCACGTCAAATAAGAAAATCAAAGTAATACATCATACTAATGGAACAAAGAAAAGAAAAAAAACGACTATCTCAACTGATGAAGAAAAGACACCTGACAAAATCTAATATCTGATCTTGTTTAAAAAAAAAAAAAAAAAACTCAGAAAACCAGGAGAGAAAGGAAATTCCTCAACATATTAAAGGGTTTATGAAAAACCCACGGTTAACACCATGTTCAATGATGAAAGACTGAAAAAGAATGCAAGATAATGGATCCCAACCTTATACCATATATGAAAATTAAATCAAAATGAATCAAAGATCCACACATAAGAGCTAAAACTATAATACTCTTACAAGAAGGGGAAAAAAAACAAAAAAAACAAAAGGGCAAATCTTCATGTCCAAGATTTAGCAACGTATTCTTACATATAACACCAAAAGCATGGTCAAATTTTAAAAATAGTAAAGGGGAATTCCTTAACATTAAAAACTTTTGTGACTCAAATGCTATTACCAGGAAAGTGAAAAGAAAAACTACAAAACTGGGAGAAAATATTTGCATGTCATATATCTAGTAAAGATCTAGTATCCAAAATTTACATAGAACTCTCACAACTTAACAACAAAAAGACAACATACTTTCAACATCATTAGTCCCTGGAGGAATATAAATTAAAACCACAATGAGACACTAAGATGAATAATTTAAAAAACGAGAATGTAGGTAAGGATGTGGAGAAATCAGAATCTTCATGCATTGCTGGTAGAAATATAAAATGACAAATCGCCTATGGAAAACGGTATGCTGGTTCCTCAAAAAGTTAAATATAGTCACCATATGCTTCAGCAATTTCATTCCTAGGTATCACCTTGGGGCAGGGTAACAGAGTAGAGAACACACACAATGGAGATTGAATGTAATAAGAAACAGTAAGGATCTTAGCTATGTGTTACCAGTAGAAAAAGAAACTGAGAGGAAGTAGTAGATTTGAGAGCTCTTCTACCCAAAGGAAAATAAATCATAACATCAAAAAGACACCTGAACTCATATGTTTATAGCAGCACTATTCACAATAGCAAAGTCATGGAATCAACCTGAGTGCCCAACAACAGATGATTGGATAAAGAAAATGTGGTGTATGTATACATTATGGAATACTACACAGCATTACAAAAGAATGAAATATGTGTTTTGAAGAAACACAGATGGAGCTGGAAGCCATTATCCTATGTCAAATAACAAAAACAGGAAATCAAATACTGCATAATATCACTTATAAGTGAGACCCAAACAATGGGTACACATAGACATCCAGAGGGAAATAACAGATACTGACTCCAAAATGGGAGAGGATAGGAGGGAAGTGAGGGCTGAAAATGTACCTATTGGGTACAATGTTCACAATTTGGGTAATAGTACACTAGAAGCCCAAATTTCACGATTATACAATATACCCATGTAATAGATCTGCAACATATACCCACTGGATCTATAAAAAAAAATAAGATTAAAAATTAAAAGAAGAAAGAGATTAGAGTAGGGTGAGAAAGGGTAATGTCTATCCACAATGAGTAGGTTAAGAGGACAAGATTTTGAAACAAAGAGACAGTTATCTACTGAGTAGGATACATTTCAGGAAATTTTGAAAGCACTTAGCAATATTGGTCTCTACTCAACAGATCTGGATGGTTTGCAGATGAAGGCTGCAGAGTTTTGAATGCATTACAGAAGCAAATAGGATAGAAGCAGATAGGAAAAAAGTCATGGATATAACAGAGTTTTAAGAACGTGACATTATGGTTCAATTTACCTAAGGAAATGTTAACAAAAGCCCACAAATAAAAGATGGATTGAGTGTAATGGTAGAAAGATGCCTATACAAGTCAAAATTTTTTTGTGTAGCTGTATAATGAAACTATCTATATAAGTTTGCTTTTATAAAAATGCTTCTCCACAAGCAGCAATTAATTAAAACAACTGAAATTACTGAGCAAGGGCTGTAGTTCTGGTTTAGTAAAGAGCTTTCCATGTGTACATTTCTCTCTCTGCAAGTGGTTCTTTCTTTAACTTCTTTATCACTATTGATAAAAGCATTTTTATGAGTAGACCCACAGGGAGTATATTGCCTTAACCTTTCCACTGAAGTTTTATGGAAGGACAGGGAAAACATTTTGTGTTTGTGAGTTTCAGTTCTTGAGTTGCCTTTAACATTTTTGAAAAGAATTCTGTACTGTGCAATTTCACACATTACAATGTTACTGTTTCTTCTTATATTGACTCCCTAACACCTATGTCAATCCTTTGACTATTGCTAATCTCACACAAAAGAACAGAGACACCATATAGTTGAGAAACTAGTTTTCTTTCCTAAACTGATCAATGATCAAATTAATTTTACTAAAAACAGTATTTTTTCCTTTCATAAATAATATAAACAGCTATGCATACCAAATAATTCCATTTCAATTCAAATGTCATAAGTAGAAAATCTAAACACTTAGTAGAAGCATCATTTAACACAAAGAAATATATGGGGGGACACCTCCCCCCCAAAATGGAATTATTTTTTGGAGGGCAGGCTTCATGTAGTACAGGCTTCCCCCACTAGGTAAGTGTTCTATGAACCCATTGGCATCAGTATACCAGCTAGTGTTGTGAGAGGCTGCATTAAGCTTCAGTGAATTTCTTTTTGGAGATAATTACGTGTTTGTCCATTTCATGATGAGTAATTTACACAAACAACCTGCCCATACCACACTGAGTGTTCAGCGGTTTTTGACCAAAATTAGCATGACCCCTGTGCCCTACCCTCCTTTTCACCTAATCTCATTCTGAGTGACTATTTTTTTTTTTTTTTTTGTCTCCTTGGATGAAAAAAGTCCTCAAAGGGAAATATTTTGGCAATGTGGAAGAGTGAAACAAAAAACAGCAGAAGCACTAAAAGGCATCAAAATGGATGAGCTCAAAAACTGTTTTGAACAGTGGTAAAAGATTATAAGCGTATTATATCAAATGGAGAGTACTTTGAAGACGAGTGAAGTGTAAACATGTAAGAATAAATACACCATTTCCTATAAATAAATTCCTGGGTTTTTGGGGTCCCCTCATATGTGTATTTTGGAAACTCACAGTTTGGCTTTAACAAAGTAAATAATACTTATGACCAGTCAAATCTGTGGTTTAACTGTTATTAACCTGTCAAAGATTTGGGCAGGCACATGAAAGATGCTTCAAATCATAATGCATTTACACCTCGGAGGGACGACTGAATAGCATTAAAACAGGGTACGATCATGTCTTATGGAAAATCAGATTTTATGTGCTGCCAGAAAACCAAGATGAAAAAAATAACTACAATGTGGTTATATGGATTATGCAATCATGCAATCAGTTATAAACAGCACAAAACATTGACAGGCACAAACCGGCACTAAAATACACACACACACACACACACACACACACACACACACACACACCTCCTGGTTTTTAAGGACACCACACAAGACATTGACAGGCACAAATCGGCACTAAAATACACACACACACACACCCCTCCTGGTTTTTAAGGACACCGGCACTAAAATACACACACACACACACACACACACACACCCCTCTCCTGGTTTTTAAGGACACCGGCACTAACACACACACACACACACACACACACACACACACACACACACACACACACACACCTCCTGGTTTTTAAGGACACCATGCAAAGAAAAGAGAATCCAAAACTTACGTCACACTGAAAGGGCTTTTCTCCGGTGTGTGTCCTCTTGTGCTCATCCAGGCCCCGCTTCTGGCTGAAGGCCTTGCTGCACTCTGAGCACTTGTACGGCTTCTCCTGCAGTCCACAAAAAGACAACACCAAAAACGCCAGTGAGTGAGTGAATGCAGAGCCCTCCTGATTAAGGTGTGCCTTGAGGGGATGAAGGGAATTTTATCTAGGTCTGCAGGATGCAGCAGCAAACTTATAGGGGTGCTGTGAACTATTTTAAATTTTCAGGGGAAACAGCAATAATCAACATCTGTGGACACTGAAAACTAATCAAGGCAGTACACAGTTTCAACACTGGATTGTGCTACCTTTCTTTCATTGATTTCCTCTCTTTGCAAAGCTGTACTTTGGGTGGCTGCTGTGATCTAACTACTTAAACCAAACTCTTAGGTCATTTCTTTTGGCCTAGGGTTACCATAAAAATCTACTGAGATACTAAGGGCATCATGAACCAAGAAAGTTTGAACACCCCTGATCTACATGTTACAAATTGTTTAGTATTTCAGAGGATTACTAGAAATGAAAACTTCAGACTAAATTTTCTACAGATTTGGGGTAAGTTTAAAAACTGGAGCACAACTGCGGCTTATGTATACTCATTTATATTACCCAATTGTTTTTCCTGAAGCATGTTCTTTTAAAAAAAACTGTATTACTTTTTAACAATGAATTCTTTTTTTAAATTACAAAAACAATTTTAAAAACTCTTAAGGAAAAGAAGTATCTCAAAAGGAAAAGAAAAAATGTCTAAATTCCTTAGCCATCTTTTACACTGGGAACTTAGTCATATCACCATCTTTTTATCCTGCGTTGAATTGTTAAACAAATTATCTAACACTGTTCCATTTAAATGACTGGTAAGTTACTACTCAGCACATCAAAAAAGGTTTTGTTTAGATGTAAGTAAATTTACAATGAGATTTTTTTCAAATATACCTTCAAAAATATTGTTATAAACATTTTTTGGAATGGGATAGTGTATGCACATGTTTCCTGTTTGCAAGTTACATTTATATTTTCTCCTTAGTACCAGAAAAATTATAATTATTTTACAGACCTACAAAACAGTATGTAAAATAACCAGACAGACATACATGTGTCCCGCAGCCAGCTTAAGAAATCAAACCTTCTCCATGAGGGTGCAGTTCTCAACACATGCCCTTCCAACCTTCCACAACTCCCATCCCTGGGATGATGGTTCCCCAGATATGTTGCTTATCATTCCCTTACCTTTCTCTATATTTTTACTACATATGTATGAATGGAACCCTAAGCAAGATGAAGTCTTATTTTGCCTGTCAAAAGTATGTAAATAGTATCACACTGCATGTCCTTTTTGTGTCTTCTTTTGAGAGTTACTTTATTATTGCTCAGCATTATCTTTACCAGCTTCTAGTCCTCACTTTCAGTTTGTGAACATGTGTACTCATTGATTTTTAATGGTGTGCCACATTACATTCAATGGCTATACACCATAATTTATGCCTATGCATTCTCCAGTGATGGGTAGTTAAGTTTTTCCTAATTATTCACTTAATAAAAATGTTGCTCTGAATAACCACATACATATACACTTGCACATGTGAGGACAACTCTCTAAGGCATGTACATCTAGAAGTAGAATTACTCTTCAACTTTTCTATGAATGACCAAATAGCTCTACAAAGTTAATAGACTGTTTTATACTACAATATTCAGTGCATTCTTCTAATTCTATCACTTGATTTGTATACATTTTGAGACTCTCAATAGGTATATGAGTGTATATAAATTTACAACTATTATATTCTTGAAAAATAGGATCGTTTATCATTTTGAAGTGGCTGTCTCTATCTGTAATAATTCCTTTTTACCTTAAAATTAATGTAATATAGGTATAAAACTTTTTAAAATTAATATTTGCCTGGTATATCCATCTTTTTGCTGGGCTCCAGCGATCCTTCCGGCTCAGCCTTCCAAGCAGCTGGAACTACAGGCGCACGCTACCACACCTGGCTAATTGTTTTTGATTTATTGTAGAGATGAGGTCTCAACAAGTTGCCCAGGTGGGTCTCGAACCCACGGGCTCAGGCAATCCATTCACCTCAGCCTCCCAAAGTGCTGGGATTACAGGCTGAGCCACCGAGCCCGGCTTACTGTATATATATTATAGAATGCTCCTGTCTTACATGTTAGTGTATAGCAGTATTTTATTTATGTCTTGATTATTAATTCTGGTCTTAGTCCGAGGTACTACAACAAAATACCATAGACTGGGTAGCTTACAAACAACAGAAATTTCTCACAGTTCTGGAGGCTGAAATTCTGATACCAGGGTGCTAGCAAAGTGAGGATTCTTTTCTGGGTTGCAGACTGCCTGTTCTCATATGGTAGAAGAACAGAACTCCGGTTTCTTCAGCATCTTTTAAGGGCACTAACTTGAATCATGAAAGTTCCACCCTCATGGCCTTATCACCTCCCAAAGGCCTTACCTACCCCTTATTGCCTTCACTCACATTGGTGGTTAGGCATTCAACATATATAAATTTGGGAAGAACATAAACATGCAGTCCATTGTAATGACCAATATGGAGTCATTATTATTTTACATAACCAGTGAGGTTTAGCTTTACACATGTTTAACCATCTCTTTGCTTTTTATGCTTTTTTCATGTATCTAATTTTCCAAGAATCTGTTGGTGGTAAATAATTTTTATTTGATTGAAAATGACTTTTTTTCTCATGTGCTTTTGAACAAAAGTCTACAAATCCAATTAGATGTAGAATAGACTCACTTTATTCTCTGTGTCTTTTAACCTGTCTTTACCACTTCCATCTCTTTGTGTGGCACTCTATTTAATTTCCTTAAAATCAGAGGATCAACGATCTTTACAGCTATGAATAACTTGCTGTTTAACAGGATCATCTGAGCATTTAATATCTGTGATGACATTTTTTAATTTTTAAAAGCTTTATTTGCTTTTTTCCAATTCCATTTAATTTTTGGATGCAATCTTATTTTTTACTCATGTTGTTCATGCCTATTTTAAGAATATTCTAGGCATTTATAAAGGGGATGTCAAAAATGTATATACATTTTAAGAGCTGTTATCTATGCATTACTTTTAGTTTGCCATCATCAGAAGTGTCTGGACAAAACAGATACTGATGGTAACCACTTTGAGCACCACGTGTAACTGCAGAAGTTAAACGTGACTTGTATTCATCTTTTGTTATCAGTAAATATAAGTATCACAATTTTAATTTTCCTTTCTTAAAATGTGTATGCTTTTTTTGGGCACCTTCTGCATAATTTTCTGTATCTGATAAACCATTATCTTTAGTTTCCTGGAAGTCTAGTTCTGCTTTTTGAGGTTTCTTCTGTCTCCTGCTCATGGCTCTTATTTCCTTATGTATTTCTGTAGTTTGACATCACGAGTTCATGTTTGGTGGTCTTTATCTGTTAAAATCCTGTGACCTTTAGGTCGAGGGTAAGTCTCTCCAGACAGCATTTATATTTGCTTCTGCCAGGCACTCTAGGATGCTATCAATCAAAGAGCATTTTAAATTTATTTCTTGCCTTAGGGTTTTCTGGTGGGGCAGGAATCTTAAGTTTGAACTTCAAACACACAAGAGGGAAGAATTGTGGTTACACACTCTAAGGAGAATGCTTTCCCTAGTCAGCAATCACTGTAAAAGAGTTACATGTCCTGAGCACCAACCTTTGTCAAAGGCAGATTGTTTCTAGTTCCAATTTCATTTTGGGGATAGCTTTCCTAGGGTCCCAGCATTATGGTGGGACAGGATTCCATCTTGTCCTATAATCTGAACACAAAACTTGTCTCCTTTACCTTGACATCATTAACACCCCCAAATCTCAAGTCTTGAGATGACCAACATTGGCAAATACCCTGCAAGTGTTGCATCCTCAACTTGAGCTTATCACTCTGGCTTTTAGTTGTTTTTGTTTGTCAAATCCTGAGGGATAACTACACTTCCTTTTTCACAAGTTCAGATGTTTGTTGTTCCCTTTATTTTATTAAGCACTAATAGGTGCTCTCTATAGGGCCTTTTGTTCCAGGATATGGAGTGTCTATCACGTTGGCAGAAATGAAAGTAATTATATGCATAATTTTAAAGATGTAAAAGATATATTTTAAATGAATGTTTACAGTCAACAGGAAAAAAGTGTTAAATTTTCTTTGCAGTTCAACACACATAATGTGCTTTACCCTTTAGTCTGAATAAACACAATCTCTTTTCACATATTACATTACCTTTGGCAACTATTGTTTCTTCAAATGTTCCATCATTTTTCTCATAACTTGAAAAGGAAAAGGTAGTTTTATGTATTTAGATCAGAAATTGCTTATAAAAGATTTTATTAGATCCAAATGTCTTAAACTCATGTTTTAAAAACATATATAAATATATTATTATAAAGTATATGAGAAGAAAAAAGAAAGCTTTTCTCCCTACATTTTATTTGTAAGACTAGAACACATGAAGAAATGAGAGGCATACTACTGTGGCAGCTGCCAGCAACAGGTGAGGTTCTGGCAGATAACTAAGAGGGAACCAACTATTGAAATGTCATCCTAAGACAGCAAGGGGGAATAGAAGGCAATGAAAACCAGTATCTGAGCACAACTGATTAAGAACAACCCTCTTACTACTTCCAGACTTTCCCTTAGGAGACATTGTCCCTACGAATTCTTAAGAGAGCAGTTTCCTGTTGGTATACAGAGATATGGGTAAGAGATAAAGGCTTTGCAATTAAGAGGTTTAAAAATCCAGATATGTACTAAACATTGGCTTAGCTGAATCAATAATGTCTTCTACACTTAGACACATACACATATTCACCCACACACATACTGATATTTTTCAAATATTTATAGATGGTATTGCTAATTAATTCAATATCGTCATTTACAAATGTCATTGAAGTTACATTGCCTTTACTTATTTATTTTCTTTTTCAAAAGACACTACAAGTACAACCACCATCATGTGTTTATATATGTATGCTGGTGAAAAAGTAGGGGATGAAATTTACAAATGTTGAAAAGCTTCCTCCAATTCAA